CCCCCCTCTCCCTGGTCTCCACTCCATCTCTGGCCATTCCCCTCAGCACCACCAGGCCACTAGATGGCACCATGAGCCCAGCACCTCACGGAGGCAGAGCAAACCTGAGTCCCCAAGTCCTGAAGGCCGGCCCACCCAGCAACATCACAGCCATGGCCCACCCTGGGGACTTCCTGGCCTTTTCTTTTCTGAGTTTTCATTAAGTCAAAAAGTCCCCTTTATGTCAGGTTCGTTCTGTCTTGAGGCCAGCATTGCCCAATAGAAATATAATGGAAGCCAGGTTTCTAATTTTCTAGTAGGCACGTTAAAGGAGTAAAAAGACACAGGTGACATTAATTTTAATAGTTTTATTTGGCTCAGTGCATCCAAAATATTATTTTAATATATAATCAATGTACAAAATATTCATGGGAATACTTTGCATTCTCTCTTTTTGTACTGAGTGTTCGAAACGTGTGGGTTTTATGCGCACAGCACATGTCAATTGGGACCAGACACATTTCAAGCGCTCAGCAGTCACTTGGCTAGAGGACCCGGAACTGGGCTGGAGACCTGAGTTCTGCCTCCCCGGGCCCAGCTCCCAGGTTGTGACATGGAATTCTGTCCAAACTGGATGCTGACATAGGGTCTTGGGGTCTCAGGGACCCAACTTGCCACCCTCTGCAGGGAGTCTCATGTTTGAAAAGGTGTCCGCACATTTGTGGAAGTTCCCGGGCAGGGGAGCTCGGCTCACCCCATCTTCCTGTGCTTACATGGGGTGGGTGAGAGCCTTCCGGAGGAGCCAGGTGAGGATGAAGCCACGCCCCCACCCCTGGCAGGGGGCCTCTCTCAGGGCCCTGGAGGTCTGCATTTTGCGAATAGCAGTGGATTTCCAGTATGGGGCAACCATGCTTAATTTAATGTAGGCATATTCACCAAACCTGAATATTTGCCTCAAAGGCACAAACAATTTTTGAGACTGATTTGCCTCCAGGAGTCCTTTTAGCTCCCCTGGCATCGGCTCCTCGCTGCTCTCCCCCCTCCCTCTGTGCCCAGTTCTTCACGGTTCCCGCCCCATCGCACTCCCTCCTCTGCCCGCGCCATCCTTGCTGGAAGCGGCATTCCTGAAGCCAGCTACACACACCACCCAAAGCCACTTCTTTCTGCTGAAATGGTTTGTTTGGCTTCAAACTAGCCCCCGGACCGGATCTGGCCAGAGACCGGTATCTGGTTGGGATGCAGTTTGAGATGAGCATCACTTTCCATTTCCAGGCCTTGGCTTTCTAGTCTGTGAGAGCAACGGGTTTGAACCACATCACCTCTGAGCTGCCTTCCATCTCTAACTTCCCACCAACATCATGCATGACCCCAGGGCTTGAAACTGCTACAGCCTCCTGCAAACCACACACACACACACACACACACACACACACACACAGACACACACACACAGACACACACACACACAGACACACACACACACAGACACACACAGACACATACACACACGCGCGCGCGCACGCAGACACATACACACGCACGCGCGCGCGCGCACACGCACACACACACACACACACAGACACACACAGACACATACACACACGCGCGCGCGCACGCACGCACACACACACACACACACACACACACACACACACACCCTGGTGTTTCCAGGTCCTTTTTATAAAGGTAAGGAGAGAGATTGGGGACATGGATGTGTAGAGAATAGAGAAGGAGGCAGAAACACAGAGAGAAGACAGAAGAGAGAACACAGACAGTACGAATCCGAGTGGACAGGCAGCCAGAACCGAGGCCCCTCAGAGTCGGCGTGCGCCCCCAGGAGCCCCGGGTGCCGGCTCCTTAGCACCACAGAAAAGCTCTGATGGGCATGAGATGGGGCTAACACTCCCCCCCTAAGACCCGCTCTGCCCCACACCTTGGTGAGCTGCTCAAAACCCATTCAGCAGGCCCTGTTGGTCCAGGCAGGATCCTGCAGGGGCCACCCTGGGGCTCCATCCCCCCTTCTCTCCTGGAGCCGGGAGCCAGCTCGGGCCTGGATGCCTCCGGGAGTTGGAGGTCATGGTCGGGGTGGGATGCGATGGGCTCAGGGCCCAGTGTTTCCCGACAGATAAGAGGATGCAGCCACCTGCCCCAGGGGAAGAAAAGTAGGGGGCTCAGTTCCCCAGGACAGTGGGAGAGCCCCCACCCCGTGTGACCCACTCTCTCTCTTTCCCCACCCAGAGCCCCCAGCCCAGAGGAGCAGGCCTGTGGCTGCGCTGGGAAGTGGAGGTCAGCTGAGTCCCTCCGGGCTGGGCCGGGCTGGCAGAGTGGGGCTGGGCCGGGCAGAGGCTGCTGGGCGGTTCTCGGGGGAGAGAGAATTGAAAAGGAAAAGCTTCTCTGAGGAGGGCAGGGAGAGAGGGAGGCCGCGTGGGGCGCGCATGCACACACACACACACACACACACACACACTCAGCCGCCCTGACTTCACGGAGCCTCACTCTGGAGAGGAGCCTCTTCTCTCTGCTCCTGGCGCTGCTTTCTGCTGCTTCCCCGCCCATCTGTGCTGCCAGCAGCAGCAGCGAAGTTGGCCTCCAACTTGAACGCAACTGAAGTCTCCAGCTCCCAGCGGCTCGGCGGGGCAGCGGGCAGGACCCAGACGCTGAGCTCTTGGGTCTGGACAGCCCACCCTCCAAGCCTTGCTCCCCGGCGACACTTCGGCCCCTGACCTGTGGGCCGCCCCCCCGCCCCCCGGGTCTGGGCTGAGGAATGGTGCGCTGAGGTCCCTCCGGAACCCCCTTCTCACGGTCTGGAACCGAAGCGGCCCAAGGCTCAAGCCAACATGGCCAACCCCCTGCAGCCTCAGTTTCCCCCTGCGCGGGAGCCAGGCGCCGCCTCGCCCCTGGACCTGCCTGAGATGGAGATGCTCCTCACCAAGGTGGAGGACAAGGGGGACAAGTCCCTGAAGCTGCCCAAGTCCCTCTCAGGGGCTCTGGACCTGGAGCAGAACGGCCACGGGCTGCCCTTCAAGGTGGTCCCCGAGGGGCCCCGGTCGCCCTCCCTGCCCCGGTCGCCCTCCCGTGCCAGCTCCAGGCGGGCGTCCTCCACGGCCACCGCCTCCTATGCCCAGGACCGAGAAGCCCCCAAAGATTACCTCATCCTTGCCATCGCCTCCTGCTTCTGCCCGGTCTGGCCCCTCAACCTCATCCCCCTCATCTTTTCTATCATGGTAAGTGCTGCCCTGTGCTCCGGGGCCCGGTGGGCCGGGGTGGCGGGCATGCTCCCTGGCACGGGTGCAGAGAAGCGAGAGCGGGGACCCAGGGGCTGGGGGAGACCCCCTTTCTCAGCTGCCTGACTACCCCCCCTCGGAGGAGGGTCCGGGGCCAGGAGAGCGTTTGTTTACTGTTCTCTGTCGTCTCTGCTCTTGACTTGGCACAGAACCCGCTGGGGAGGAGGCCCCGGGGAGCCCCCTGGAGCTAAATTCCAAACTACAGAGACAGCCACGTTGGGGGTCCTGTCTTGTGGTGGGGCGGGAGGGTGGTCCCCAGGAGTCATTCCTGAGCAGGGCTATGCTATCAGCAGAGCTTGCAGCTGGCGTGGAGTCCCAGGGCCCGTGTTCTCAGGAGGGGAGCCAGCCCCCCACAGCCTCCCCCACATCTCGCCCCTGGCACCTGGGTGTTCTCTGTGCCAGCTCTGGTTTCCAAGAGCCCCGGGGGCTTCCCTGCTGGGCCCTGGGGGGCCGGGGGCCTGGCTCCCCAGGCTGCTCCTCTCGGGACAGTTCTCGCCAGGCCCTCTGGGCCTTGGTGGTTGCCCGGATTTCAGCCTCTGTCCTCAGGGTAGGGGAGGTCTGGGCCGCGGTGGAAACCATGTCAGAGGGCACGCTAGACTTGCCAAGGAGGGCATGTGGGCTTGTCTCTGCTTCTCGCGCACTCTTGTGCTGCAGGGCTTTGAGTACACAACCTTCTGGCCCTTTAAATACAGCTCCTCATGTTGTGACCCAACCATAAAATTATTTTCGTTGCTACTTCATAACTGTAATGTTGCTACTGTTATGAGCCGTAATGTAAATATCTGATATGCAGGATGGTCTTAGGCGACCCCTGTGAAAGGGTCGTTCGACCGCCAAAGGGGTCGCGACCCACAGGTTGAGAACCGCTGCCTTAGATCGTCCCAAACCAAGCCGTTTGGATAGAGCTGCTTGCAGAGGATCACAGACACGGTCAGCAGCTGTGAATTCTGAGGTCTAGGAAGGAGAGAGACAGACAGATGAACTGGACTGGGCAGGCTGTGGCGTCCAGGGTGAAGCTAGGAGCAGGGGGCAGCGACCTGCTAGCCCGGGCTGGGCCAGGCCAGAGGTCTGGGTGGGGAGAGACTGTCCCTCCATCTGGAGTGACTCCGCCACTGAGCCGCGATCACCAAGCCCCTCATAGCTGTGGTCACTCTGGCTGTTCGCGGGCCGTCCTCTGAGAAAGCCTCTACTTCTCACCCTTCTCTGTCTACCTCACCCAGGCATGGCCTCCACGGGGAAGCCTTCCCAGCCCCAGCGGCTCCAGCACTGCCTAAGTCAGAGGGACTTGGCGTGGGCACAAGAGCCAGGGCTGGCAGCACCCAGGGTGGGGCCTTCGAGGGGCTTCCTGTGTGCCTGCTGCACAGGGGACCGCGGGGCCGGGCCAGGCCGCAGCTGCAGCCAGTGGCTCTGGGCAGGGCCAACCTCCTGGTTACAGGGAGAAGCCCCAGGAGGGGAGGCAGGTTCGGGGAGGAGAACCACCCCAGGGCCCAGGAGAGAACAGCTACTAGGATCTGTCTCCTGGTGGGCGTAGCAGGATGCAGGCTGGGGTGAGCTGCCTTTGTCAAAAGAAAGCTGGGCCCGAGACTGGGAAACCAGTGAGCCCACGCTCCGTGCATTTCTATGTCCTTCTCAGGCCCTTGAGTCAGGCCTGATGGGCACCGGGCCAGGGGCAGGGATTCAGGCGCTAACCCAGACATCATCACCAATTCCCAGGAGCCTCCAGTCCAGTGGGGAGAAACTTGTAAACAGATCCTTACGACACACTGCAAGAAGTATTTGTGCTTGGCGAAACCACAAGGTATTGTGTGGCTTCGGGCAAGTCACTCAAACCTCTCTTCTTCTCAGTGTACCTATCTGCGAAATGGGTTGACTCCATTACACCTACATCATAGCGCTGGGTGAGGGCGAAACGAGACAAGCCACACACGGTGCTTAAGAACAACACGCAGCACGCGGTTAAATGCTATCACACACTGATAGTAACAGCAATGCTGTGGCAGCTGATCTCCCCAGTGAGGAACAGAAACCATCACAGGTTTGCTGTGGGGCCTTTTAGAGCTTTGAAATATATCGTACAGTTCACCCATCTAAAGTGCATGACACTGATGTTTAGTATATTCACAGTTAGGTGCAACCATGCCCACACTTAATTTTAGAACATTGTACTGGCCTCCAAGGAAACTCTGTACCTTTTTTCTATCACCCCTCCCGACCCCCTACACACACACCTCACTCTCCATCCCTCCCAAGCCTAAGTGGCCGCTCCTCTTTCTGTATGGGTTTGCCTCTTCTGGCCATTTTATATACATAGAATCATACAACACATGGTCCTTTGGACCGGCTTCTTCCAGAGGCATCGAGTGTTCAGGCTTCACCCGTGCTGTAGCTTAGCCACGGGAGGGTTTGGAGCCAGAGAGGGGTGTGGTCAGATTTCCATGTTGGTGGGTCAGTCTTGTGTAGGGTGAAAGGAGGGGCCAAAGGGGCCCGTCTGAGCCTGGCATCCGGGACAGGGCGCCTTTGCAGTGGTGCAGGTGAGAGATGAACGGGCCTGGACCAGGGCAAGGGGCAGGCAGAACCTCTAAAAGTGGTGACACGGAGCATTCATTCAGTCGACATTCATTCCCTTGAATGGCACGTTGCTTGTTTGGAGAAAAGTGAGGGGTAGGGGGGTGTGTCTTTTTATGCACCAGGCACCATGGTAGGCATTTGGGAAGCAGCTGGAGAAGACCTGGTCTATTGGCATGAGAAGGAGGTGAGAGTGTGGTGGTCAGGGGAGGTGGGCAAGGACCGGCTCTAGGAATTTAAGGTTTTTTAAAAATATGTATTTTTATTGATTTCAGAGAGGAAGAGAGAGGGAGAGAGAGAGAGAGAAACATCAATGATGAGAGAGAATCATTGATCAAGCTGCCTCCTGCACACCCCTCACTGGGGATTGAGCCCACAACCCTGGCATGTGCCCTGACCAGGAATTGAACCGTGACTTCCTGGTTCATAGGTCGACGCTCAACCACTGGGCATGCCAGACCAGGCTAGGAATTTAACTTTTATCTGAGTGGCTCTGAGGAGCTTCTAAAGATTTTAAGCAGCACTAGCTGGTTTGGCTCAGTGGATAGAGCGCAGGCCTTCCGACGGAAGGGTCCCAGGTTCCGTTCCAGTCAGGGGCACATGCCGGGTTGCGGGCTCGATCCCCAGCAGGGGGCATGCAAGAGGCAGCCAATCAATGATTCTCTCTCATCATTGATATTTCTCTTTCTCTCCCTGTCCCTTTCTCTCTGAATTCAATACAATAGTATTTAAAAAATAAATAAATGAAATAAAGATTTTAATCAGAGGCGTGATGTGGTCAGTTCATATTTTAAAACCAAACCATTGTGGGAAACGAATGAGAGCAGGCCGGATGGGGACAGGGAGACCCCGCAGGAGGCCCCTGAGCCAGTGTAGCAGGATGCGAAGGCCCGAGCCAAGCAGTGGGCTGAGGAAGGAGGGCGCTGAGGAGGGAGTCGCTGAGGAGGGAGGAGCAGTGCTTGCTTTGGACCCCGGGTAGTCAACTCAAAAATAGCGGCACTTATCGTAGAGAAAGCTCTGGGCACACAGCACTTGAGGGGTGGGCAGAGGGAGTGGGCAGAAAAGGGTGTTGGGAAGATTCCAGGAGGTGGGAGGAAAACTGAAAAAGAGGGGGAGACACCAGGGAGGAGGGAGTTTGAAGAAGGAGGGAGTCGTCAAACGCAGCGGCGAGATCAGGCTCAATAAGGATGGGTGTCCACTGGCTTGGCCATTTATAGATCCCTGGTGACCCTGGTGATGGAGACCCTTAGGCAAAATGAGAGCGGTGGCCCGGCCAGTGTGGGTCAGTGGTTGAGCGTCGACCTATGACCCAGGAGGTCATGGTTCCATTACCGGGTTGCAGGCTTGGTCCCCAGCAGGGGGTGTGCAGGAGGCAGCCGATCGATGATTCTCTCTCATCACTGATGTTTCTATCTCTCTCTCCCTTCCTCTTTGAAATCAATAAAAATATATTTTTTTAAAAAAAATGAGAGGTGATGGATGAGGCGAGGTCCCTGAAGAGCAGAGAGATGGGGTCCAGGAGAAAGACCTCCGTCCTGGGAGCTGGGAGGAGAGGCCACGAGGAAGGAAGTGGATGGAAATACTCAAAGAGAAGGGAGTCGTTCATGCTGCGTGAGGTCCATGCCACCAGGGACCCGGAGGGCGAGGTTGTTTGCTGAGAAATAAGGGCCTGACGGCAGAGGGGAGGAGAGGTGACTCGGGACAGACAGATCCGTGGCCCGAGGGCTTGGCTGAGGCTGGGACCAGGGGTCTGAGTTGTGATCGGCCTGCGTGGTGGTGTGGCTTTTCTCCAGCTGTAGGTATAGGGTCACTGAGGTGACATTAGGCCCACCCAAGCCTGGATGGCAGAATCGCCACAAGGGCGGGACCAGGTGGCACAGAAGATGCCACCCAGGGTGGCTGAGGTGATGCACCCAGGGATCGGGCTGGGCTGGGAGGCAGTGAGGCCAGGAAGGTGGTAGTAGCCTTGGAAGAGAGGAGGTCGGTCACAGGTTGGGGCTCAAAGAAGTAGTGGGCAGGTGCTATGAGAGCGTGAGGGTGAGAGAGAGACTGGGGTGGGATTTCAGAGGAGCAGCCAAGGCAAGGGTGGAGTGTAGCTGTGGAAATGAATTTCTAAAGGGAGCCGAGCCAGAGAGAAGGAACCGAGGACGCCCAGGGTGAGGGATAACATTACCACCCTCACCATGTGCTTGCTAAACGCTAGGCACAGGGCCAAACACGTTAGACGTACATGATCGCCTTTAATCCAAACTCTAGCCCGGTGAGGCCCAGGTATTGCTATTGCTCTCAGTTTGCAGACGAGGAAGTCCAGTGCGGACGGACGTGTGAAATAACCTGCTAGCGATGGGGGCCCACGACGCCTGGAGCCCACGCTC